AGAAGGCCAACCGTATCCTGGGCTGCATCAGAAGTGTAGCCAGCAGGTCAAGGGAGGTGATTCTGCCCCTCTACTCCAGTCTTGTGAGACCCCACCTGGAGTACTGTGTCCAGCTCTGGAGTCCTCAATGTAAGAAAGACATGGACCTGCTGGAGCGTGTCCAGAGGAGAGCCATGAGAATGATCCGAGGGCTGGAGCACCTCTCCTATGAGGAGAGGCTGAGAGAGCTGGGGCTGTTCAGCCTGGAGAAGAGAAGGCTCCGGTGGGATCTTATTGTGGCCTTCCAGTACCTAAAGGGGGCCTACAGGAGAGCTGGGGAAGGACTTTTTACTAGGGAGTGTAGTGACAGGACGAGGGGGAATGGCTTTAAACTGGAAGAGGGCAGGTTTAGATTAAACATTAGGAAGAAGTTTTTTACTTTAAAGGTGGTAAGGCACTGGGACAGGTTTCCCAGAGAGGTTGTTGAGGCCCCATCGCTGGAGGTGTTCAAGGTCAGGCTGGATGTGGCCTTGGGCAGCCTGGTTTAGTGGGAGGTGTCCCTGCCCATGGCAGGGGGGTTGGAACTCGATGGTTTTCAAGGTCCTTTCCAACCTAAACCATTCTATGATTCTATGAGAGGGGATCTCATCAATGCTTATAAATATCTAAAGGGCAGGTGTCAAGAGGATGGGGTCAGACTCTTTTTAATGGTACCCAGTGACAAGACAAAGTGCAATGGGCACAAACTGGAACACAGGAAGTTCCATGTGAACATGAGGAAAAACTTCTTTACTTTGAGGGTAACAGAACACTGACAGAACAGGCTGCCCGGAGAGGTTGTGGAGTCTCCTGGTCTGGAGACATTCAAAACCCACCTGGATGTGTTCCTGTCCAACCTGTTCTAGGTAAACCTGCTTTGGAAGAGGGTTGGACTAGACGATCTCCAAAGGTCCCTTCCAAGCCCCACTATCCTGTGATTCTGTGTAAAAGTGGGAAGCTCTCTGTTGCCTTCCTCCATTACCTTCCAGTGCTTCGCAATACTAAAAGAAATCCAATTTGTGATGGTGTTCCCTGTAATGGTAATCGGTGTACACTGTAACTAGACACAATTGTCAGTGAAAGGTATTTCACAATGATTTGGTGACCCTGGCTGCTCCTAAGACAGAAGGCTGACTACTAACTTCGCCTACCCTGAGGTGCAGCCCCACTTTTTCAGGAAAACTGCCTGATCTTACTGCAACAGGTCAGAGATTTGTGCTTTCTACTAACGAGGGCAGTGCTTACACACCTTAGTTATGTCTAAAGAACAAAATTAGAAGTTTATCAAGTAGTTTCAGTTGGGACATTATTGAGGCATCAAGGAATGTTCCTAACCTTGAATAGGATGTGAAATGAAACAATGTGTCTTAACATGTTCCTTTGCAGTTGCTCACTTAGACTGAGATAGCAAAAATTGTAACTTCTGGACCAAATTTGAGCTACGAGTGTATCCCAAACTAACTTTGGGTAATTATAAAGCTAAAATACACACCCTTTTGTGAATAAAGAGCATGCTAATCAGGAATTCATTTTTCTTATTATAGATTATATACCAGAATTGAAGAAAGCTAGAATTTGTGAATTTTATTCAAGAACTTTTATTAATTGAAATGGGAACACCATTGCGAAGAGATTTTACATTGACGAAAGATTGAAAAGTCCATCAGAAAGCTATAGAATTCAGAACAATATTGATCTTAAAGTGAAATCACTAACAGATTTTATTAAAGCCAGCATTTTTAATATTAAGAACTTAAAAAATATATTTTAAAGCATTTTCCTTCAGATACACTTAGAAACAATGAATTCCTGAGCAACTATTTTTATACCAGTATTCTCCAACCAATGTACGTACTGCATATGAAATCTACTTTATATAATTT